AACTTCTCCACTCACTTATCTCACACATAACTACTGATGCCAGTTATACTTATTATTGTTTACACTTGTAAATTATGTTCAAAAAGCATAAATCTGACTGTATGCTGCTACAGACAAACTATAGTTCTCATTTTGGACTTATTGTACAATCAAATTACATGTTTACAAATATGTTTTCGCACCCTAGGCATACTTCACTTGGAAGGTGGAACTGCAAGCCTTCCATTACACTGAAGTCTTTAAACGGGCCTGAAAAATTAATTTTAAACTCACAGTACCTTGATCTTAAATAAACTTAAAAAAAAATTAATATTTCATGCAGTCATATTTAATGCATAACCAAGGAGGCATCATACTGACCATTTCTAACAATTACACTCAATGACTCCCTTTACTTTACTGCATCCATGTCTTCTCATGTTGACAGTGCATTGCTGCTGCAACGGCTACAAAATTCCAATGATACCCTCCTCTTGGAAACATGCAAGCATACACCAGCATCCATCAGCAGCTCATCACCTGTTGCACATCAAGCCACTGGTGAATTAGTGGCTGTAGGCTGGACCAAATAACAACCAGAAAATTCAGTATCATGAGGATCTATCTCAGAGGGAGACAGGAGTGGCAGATCTAAAGTATCATCAGGAGGCACTGAAAAAAAGAATGGGATACATGATGTAAAAATTCGGTGTCATAATACCAACCTGTTGTTTTTCATCATCTGAAGCAAGAGTTGCACTGTCTTTATCAAACAAACCATTAAAACTTGTGGCAATACTGTCACTTCTTGTACGTACAAAATTGTGATCTGCAGGTGACTGCAGTTAATTACTTGGAGACTGCTTTCTTAAGGGGGATGTTATTGGTAGCCCTGTATTATGTATGGACCTTATCAGCATACTAATCTCCTTGTTGTTTGCTAACACCTCCTTCAAATAATTAACTTCTTTTCTTAATGAACACACAACTGAAGACTGACCTTCCATACTCCGTTTAAGTCTGGCGTTTTCATCAGACAGTCGGGCTACCTCACTTTCCAGAGATTCCAAGAACTTCTTCTTCTTAAGACGGCTCATTCACGCCATTATAGCTTTTCTAGACGGGCGCAAAGGGAGCCCTTCAGATACCGACATGGAATGTACGAGATTGACGGGTCAGCATTTCATTCAAAAAAATCCCAAAACCGAAATTTATAAAGTTGGAAGAAGAAGGTTTGTGGTGTGTACACAAAACGGAAAGAGAAAAGAAACCAGATACAGGTGTAAAAACTGCCCAGGGACACAGTCTCTCTGCCTAGACCCTTGTTTTGAGCAATACCACACCAAGGTCAACCACTACACACTGGATATGGAGAGCTGGGAAAAAGAAATAGCTTGACAAAATGTATATAGACATTTATAATAATGAACTGTAAACAATTGTAAATATAATATAATTTTTTGGAATTTTTCAAATAGCGATTTCGTTATTTAAAAATATTTAGGTAAATGTCTGCACAAAACCTTCAATGCTTGCGAAAATAAAGCATCGGGAGGGATTTAAATACCCCCGCATAAATGCACGCTATATGTATGCAACTGAGCAGACGCAAATGGTGCGTCGCACACGCTTGAGGGGTTAAGGTGTTACTTTACCAGTGCAAATCGCCATACCTTATCATGCAATCAACTTTTTTTTCCAATATAAGTCAGATTCAATTTAATTTCACAAATATCTTTAACTTTTAAGTCAGTGGAACCTTGCCTGCTAAAAGCAACAGCTCTCCCTCACTTCGCATAACATGGTACGTATTTTATATATCATTATGTATATCTTAATCCCCTCTGCCACCACATATGGTATTTCACAATTTAATTCCAACTTGTGTCCATGCTGAAAGACTTATTCTAGTGAACCCACTTTACTTACCTGAAAGTGGCTTTTAGATATACAAGCACATTTCATAGTGATGCAAGAAATTCTGTGGGACACTTTGACCCTCATATTAGTGATTTCTGGAATAATGTTCCAGGTTTCAGTCTCTATAAAGCCTTCACTCTGCATGATTTATATATGTAGATTTTCTCTATCAACTGTCCATAGAAGTAAAAGTTGCACACTTTCAAACAGTCAGCTTCATAATATTGTGACATGACAGCTGAAAGCTGGAGTAGAAGGCCCAGAAATGTTGTCCATTGCCAGGTAATTCCCAGTAAACATGTACCCATGGCAACGAAACATGCTCCTGCATCAAAAATATCTTGACCATTAATATGCAACAGCCCATTTAACATGTTGCTTAAAAGTGGAGGACTTCTTTGAAGCCATGTTTCCTATGCTGTTTGTGTGGAATTTATTTAATGAGGACACCAGCCATGTTGACAGTCATGACTCTGGAGTCGATGGCCAGGAGCCAGAGGTTGGAATTGGTGACTAAAGTGTTGAGTTACATTGTTAGACACTGATACAATGAAATGACAAGTGAAAACATAGAAGACTCAGTGTTTGCAGCGGTGATTTTTAAAGTATGGAGATTGGTAACAGTGTTAAAATTATTTGTAGTTAATGAATTTTAAGTATCTGTTAAGTTCAGTTTCCAGTCTGAGCACCTATTCCGCTAACTATCACATGACAATGTTACTTCATGGAGAACACTCCTTAGAGATCACTCTGTCGTTTGTGGTGTTTCCTGAAGAAAATACATGGTAACTCTCTTATTGCAATGAAAAAAAAAAATGGTAAAATTATTCCTGTAAGAGCCCAAGGAGTTCCATAGGTTTATCAGACACTGAGGCTCCCATATCTTCTAGACAGTCAGCTCACAGATGGTGGTGAAGTTGCCGGCCTTGTGCGCCAGCAGCCCTCTATCCACAGGAAGATCCTTAGTACTCATTTCTGTTAGAGACTGAATGGACCCCAGAGCCATAGTGTGGCTGGAAAGATCAGCGATGTTGAAAATCACTCAGCCAGGGTCAAATGGAAGAAATAATGCCATGACTGGACGAGTTGCTGCAATAACAAATTTGCTGTCATGAAAACAAGTGTGTGTGTGTGTGTGTGTTTTTTCCGCTTATTGCAACAGATACTGAAATTGTAGTGAAAGGAAAAGTGTTAGTGATACTTCCAAGAATTCCTTATCTGTTGTTATTTTCTTGACTTATAAGGAATTTTGTACACTGTTGGATATGGCATTTGTTAATGCGTTGTGTTTTGAAACCAACGTGTTGGAAACATAAGGAACTAATATGCGTGGTGTCTGTTGCCGAAGGGAATTCAAAGCATGCACACTCTTACATTTCCAGATGCCATCGTAACTTTACAGTCAGGTACTGTGTGTAAATCCTCTCAAACTTTTGTCTTTGTACTCGTTATATCTTCCGCTTCATATATGAATGCAACACTGCCAACGGAAGCCATACTCGTGTGTATCTGGCATGTCTGGTAGATGAACATGAAACATATGTACTTCCTGCACATTGACACTGTGTTCTCTGAATATTCCAGTTTTTAATCCTCTCTGAAGAATGAAAGTAAACCTCTTTTGCAGGCAAACTCTGGGGGGCAAAGTAATGACTTACTCTTCTTCCCCCCCCCCACCCTCCCCCCCACAAAAAAATAAATAGGATATATCTGTTCTTGAAAAGTATCTCAATGTCCAAGAGTTAAATTTACAAGCTGCATCCTGTCTCCACACTACATTGTCTCTTGTGTCGTATGTAAACGACCAACATTCACGTAAGAGAATACTAAATGTGGTGAATTTCTAGATGCATTTCAATCACTCACTCACTACATTTCTTATAATTACATGAGTATATTTTAATTCCACAGCTTGAATGGTGTTTCTTTGAAGTTTCAGCTAATACTGTGACATGACAAGGAAAGCTTATTTTATTCGAAACAAGGCAGATGTGTTCTCTAATAAACAAAGTAATATAATGACTCCTTCATCTAAGTTTTTCTAGTTGATTTTAATTCTAATAAACAGCATGAACTTATCATGATTGTCTATTTATTTATTTCGTCTCTATATAGATCATTGTTACATGATATAGGACAAGTCAGTTACTATACATTAACTGATTACAATAAGAGAATATAGTTAGAATACTTAAAATTGTTTACAATAGGTTACACTAAGATTTCATATAGTGTGAGGTGGAATCCATATTAGGTCCCCTCGGCACCTCGGCTTCCATATAGTATTCTATTGTACCTGTACTGGTGATAATGCTTATGGAGAATTTGATGGAATGAGGATTGGCAGGGGAACTGAAGTACTTGGGGAAAACCTGCCCCAGTGCCACTTTGTCCATCACAAATCCCACTTTACTAGACCACAGCGGTGGGAAGCCAGCGACTAACCACTTAAGCCATGGCGCGGCCTTTGAGATAATACTTGTGAATTTGGTGATAGCACTGGTATAACGTTTCACTGTAGACTCTACACTGCAACATCTCACTACATCTGTTCTCCCTTCCTGGTGCAGGTTCTTCGCATCTGCAATCTCTCCAGAGTAGCCCATTCAGGTGCATCTCCGACTATGTTATCTTGGTTGCTGGAAGAAAGAAAGGAAAACTGCGCAGTAGGGATTCCCAAAACCGATTATTCATGAATTATGTGATTATAATTGATTAGTGTTTGTCTTACACGAGAGAAGCTCATCCACTTTATAAAAACAATGATCGAGTAGGTAAGTTTTCAGAGCGTTTTTGAACTTATATAGTACCGGTATTTCTTTATATATGGTGGCAGATGATTTAGCAGTTGAAGTCGTACATTGTTAAAGCTGTTCTTGCATATACTTGTATTACATGGGACAATGTGCAAGTCATCTTTTTTCCTTGTGTTGTATGAGTGTAATCCTGAGTTGGTTGTGAAATCATTCAAACTGGATTTTATGTATATTAGAGTTTCGTATATGTACAAAGATGGTAGAGGTAATATATGTAATGATTTGAAAATTTGTTTACAACTAGTCGTTTTTGGGACCTGGGTCATAGTTGTTATAGTTCTCTTCTGTATACGAATATTCCCTTTTGAATATTTTCATTTCTTCCGTTTTCCAGACAATAAACATGTCATGTTGCCACAACTATAAAATGATTTAAAGAAATCAAACGGGTCAAGAGAGCTCAACTGGTTCCCGACTGGGGCAAGGAATATTTCCTTCTGCAGTGTCCAGGCCAGCTGCAGGGATCACCCTGGGTACTGGAGCTCTTTACCTTGTGGTCAAGTGGCCAGGGCATGAAGCTGACAACTCACCTCCATCCAACACATGTCTTTGTTATGCAGTGTTTAAGTGATTAACAACAGGGAAAAATTAAACTTAACCAAAGAAAAGAAACCCCAGGAAAAAATCCCTAATTGTTTCTTGGTCAGTTTAGCCAAAATAAAGCCACTGTGTGCCCACAACAAACCTAGGTCTGCTTGCTAAACAATAAAATTCCTAGCTACTGAACAACATATTCATGACTATAATATTATAGCTAATGAACAGTTTGGATTTAGAAGGCAATCTTCAACAACTATAGCTTCTTATGTGTTAATAAATGAAATATTAGAAGCATTAAATAAGTGGGAAATTGTAGGTGGAATCTTTTGTGACTTAAAGAAGACATCTGACAGTGTCAACCGTGAGATTTTATTGAAGAAACTTCAATTTTATGGAATACGAGGCAAATTTCTCGACCTGATCACATCCTATTTATCAGACAGAAAACAGAGAGTATTAATAGCCAGCACTGACTTTGATCATGCTGCTAGATCTAACTGGGATACTGTAAGATACGGAGTCCCACAAGGGTCCGTCCTTGGTCCGCTTCTTTTTCTTTTTTATGTAAATGATCTCCCCACAATTTTCAATGATTCAGTTAAATCAGTATTGTATGCAGATGATACAAGCTTAGTCATTAGCAGTTCGAATAATAGCCAGTATAGTAAAGATGTTAAAACCTCTTTCACTTGTCTTAATGAGTGGTTTAGTACAAACAGGTTGACCTTAAATTTGAATAAAACTAAACATGTTCAATTTGAGGCAAAGCCTAGAACGAATAATGTAACTTCTATTCGATATTGTAATAATGAGATTTTAAATGATATAAACATGAAATTTTTGGGGATTGTTATAGAAAGATCGTGCACTTGGAAAGCTCATATAACTCAGCTTAGGCCTAAATTATGTAAGGCTTGTTATTCAATGAGGGTGATTAAACCCATCTTGCCCATTGAGACATTAAAAATGGTGTATTATTCCTACTTTCATTCACTATTGAGCTATGGAATTATTTTTGGGGGTAATTCACCCCTTAGTGTGCATATTTTTAGAATTCAAAAGAGTATAATCAGAGTCATGAGTGGGTTGAGACCTAGAGACTCTTGTAGAGAGGCATTTAGGGAATGGGGAATATTGCCGTTGCAGTCGCAATATATTTTCTCATTATTGATGTTTGTTGTGAATAATATGGGCTTGTATCATAAGTCAACGCAAATTCATGGCCTGAAAATGAGGCGTAATTTTGATCTCTATTGTCCTCAGGCAAATTTAACAATTTACCAGAAAGGTCCTTATTATTCTGGCATTAAACTTTTTAACCATCTTCCATTGAAGATTAAAGAATTGGTCTGTGATATTAAGCAATTTAGAGTGGCTTTACATGCCTTTTTACATCGTAAATCTTATTATACTTTGGATGAATATTTTAACTAGGATTGTTATTGAGTGTTTATGTTATTTATTTATATTTAAATTATAATGTAATTATATTGTAAATGTGATGTAATTGTAGTACATATAAGGGTATTAAGTTAATATCATGTTAATATTGTTGTATATATATTATCTAGTGACTACCTGCTACTTAGCAGGCCTGTTGTGAGACCGGTTCGGTATCCAAGGGCTTCGGCCATGTAAGGATGTGTTGGAGCGTGCAAATAAATACAATACAATACAACACAGAATTCATACATGTGACCATTATACCTATATCTTACAACATGAATGCATTTCAAATAATCATTTAATTACTGAAGCAGACAAATCAGCAGCAGCTTTCGAAATTCTAGTTTGCAATGTTCCCAATGCAACACAGTGGTTCTGTGTACGTAACAATTCTCATTCTGATAAGCAACAGTTCTCAAAGCCCCCATCTCAGCCTCCTGTCCAGTCTGTACTGGAGATAAATCAGGAGGGGAGTGAAAGTGACCACACACATCCATCTAGTGCCATGGTCAAGAATGGTGGAACTAGACTCCATGCCCCCATAGGTTTCTGTGGCACAGTGCTTAACTGATCAAGTATATGGACAACATTTTTCTTAAGTCATGCAACTGACACATCTGAGTGTTCCTGCAAGAAGGTTCTGCCTGAAATAATACATATATATGATAAGAAATGGCAGACTTGCAATAAAATAACCTGATTCTGAGAGCAAAAATAGAATTATAAAGTTTGTGACTATGGTGTATTAACAGAGTTATTAATATTTTGAACATTATCCATTGTCCTGGTTTTCTTTTACAGCAATGGATCAGAGACTGCATGCTGCCTCCATGCTGAGATAATTATTTTATTTAAAACACAGTTTCGGAGACTAGACTCTTCCTCAGTTCTCCTCCCACAGATGGGTTATGAACATTTGGCTCATATCCCTGCCTTGTGTTCGCCCTAGTACCTGGACACAGGAGCTAGATTTAGGCCTATCTGAGGATTGAGGCAGATTCCAGTGTCCAAAATATTGTTTTAAATAAAAAAAGCACTATGATGGATAGTGTCCACAAAGCCCAGTTTTTACTGTTATTTTATTGGGTTCATTATCCATACATACTAAGTGGGTTTCCAGTTATTGCATCAGATACTCAAACTCTAGTGAAGGGAAAGAGTGTGTGAGTAATACTTCCGATTATTCCTTATCTGATTTCATCTTCTTAATTTACAACAAATTTTGTGCACTGTTGAAGACTGCATTTCTTAATGCACCTTGTTTTGAAACTGACATGTTAGATGAGGAAGTTCAAAGCAAGCACACCTGTGCACTCCTAATGCTATCGTAACATTACATTCATGTAATTTGCTCTTAAACAATTTGGGTAAATCCCCTCAGACTTTTGCCTTTGTAGGCGGTATACATTCTACTTCTGATACGAATGTAACGCTGCCAACCAAAGCTATACTCATGTGTATCTGGCACATCTGGTAGCTCAACACCAAACATACATACATACTGCCTGCCATTTCTTCCTTCACGCTGACACTGAGTACACTCATACTGGGTCCTCTGAATATTCCTGCTTTTTAATCTCTCTTAAGAGTGGAAGTTGATGTACTAATAAACCACTTCTGCGGGTGAAGCTGACCGCTTGACTCCATCTAGTGCTCAGGTCAAGAATGGTGGAAATATACCTCCACTCCCCTCATATGTCTTTATGTCACAGTGCTTAACTAATTAAGCACAGGGCAACATTTCTTTTAATCATGCAACTTCCAACTAGTTCTGACATATGTCAGTGTTCTAGAAAAAGAACAGACTATTGGTTTCTGTTTACATAACTAGATATTTACAACTTCAAATCATATAATAAATAACTCAACTGTCTCCCACAGAAGGTCTTTGTCAGTATATAAGACCAGGACATCATAATCCTTATGATCCCTTTTATCATTTAGCGGTAAATTTGAATGTGCACTACTGGTGCTATTACCAAGCAATCAAACAGATTCTTGAGCATCTTCCACCCACAACAGTCTCGCTCTCTTGGAAGCAGGGTGACGTCCATCATGATCCTCCTTTCTTTAACGCCATTGTTGTTGATCCGTACTGGAATGCTGCCAAAAACGTACAATAAGAAATGGCAAATCTATAATAAAATATCATGATAAATGTCTTGTTTGCTGCACCTTAGCTGGCAATGAACTATGTAACAACATAAATATGTTTAACAGTTATGGCTTGAATGTTTATCTTCTGGCTAGTTTGCTTAACATGTAGTTACAGTATTTTATTACAGTTAGTGTTATTATAAAATTAAGCTCTTCTGGCATCTGATATTTAGTAGGATATCCTATATGTATATTTTTGCCCTATATCTGTGTGCCATTCCCTTCCCTTTTCGGCATATCTCTATATTTTTAAAAATTAGAATTAGGCCTGAGATCAACTTGCTGCACATGTCTTTTAATCGCTCTTAACAATTGTTGAACGCCTTTACCAGCCTTCATGAAACTCGGGACGTCATCACTACTGAGCACTTCGTAAATCCTTCTCATCAGTAATACCAACACTGAAGGCTCTCACATCGTTGAGGTAGTAACCTTAATATGACTTGAGTGCCTGAACCAACTGTCATTAAATTTGGCTCTGGCAACAAGTTTCTGCTTTGAATTGTATTACTCAAATTGTAATGAAATGAAACCAGTCAATCAGATCCCAGAACCTTGCCCTTTTACTTTTCTTTGTCGAGCTATTTCATGTGCATTTTGGTTAATCTAGGAAGTGTATTTAGATCTCATATTTATTTTATTTATTTATTTCGTCTCTATAGATAATTGTTACATGACATAGGGCAAGTCAGTTACTGTACATTGGTTGATTACAATAAGAGCATGAAATTCTACTACTTACATACATACATACATACATACATACATAGCTACATGGTTTCACAGATCCTTTGTCTGGATACCGGACTGGATATTGACCTCGTCACAGCCAAACTGACAACTTACTTACAACTGTTTACAATAGATTACAGTAATTATAAGAGTTCGTATAGTGTAATGTGGAATCCATATTAGATTCCCTCGGCACGTCGGCTTCCATATGTCCTATTGTACCTGTACTGGTGATAATGCTTATGGAGAATGTGACTGATAATAATTCTGCACGGTAGGCAAAATTAAAGCTTAACAGATATAACTTACCTTGTAAGATTTGAGGCTTTCACGGCGGTGACTATGAAGAAAGCAGTCTTCTGGGATTTGGCACCGTGTATATGTGGTGTTAACCGACGTTTCGGAGGAACGTATCGCCTCCATCTTCAGGGTAGAAGAAAAAATATAAGAAATCTGCAAGCGAAGAGGCCGTGAGAAACCGTGCTTTTACCGTTTCTCACGGTCTCTTCGCTTGCAGATTTCTTATATTTTTTCTTCTACCCTGAAGATGGAGGCGACACGTTCCTCCGAAACGTCTGGTAACACCACATATACACGGTGCCAAATCCCAGAAGACTGCTTTCTTCATAACCTACCTTGTTTAACAGTACGAGAACAAAAATATACTGCTGATAACACACAGACAACTTCCAATACGACCGCGAGTGCTTTGCTTCTTTACGTTCTTTACTATTCCGTGAATGTAATTAATATGTGATGCGTTATTTCAGCTGTCCTATGCAGGTTGGTAGATTTGGTAGCTGTTGGTAGCATTGTCAGCTTTGAATTGATGGCTATTGGAGCCATTGGAGCTATTGGAGGTATTCAATTCAAGTAGGTGGATATTCATCCGCTAAGAAAACCGTTAGATATGCGTAATAATTTAATCACGTTTTTCCTCTACATTATCTTATGGCCTCAGAAAATAAAACTATAAGGCTTAACATGGAAGGAAATTATCACAGGTTGTATATATCAATATATGAAGCAACATAATTGAAATGACTAGGTTCTTTCTTCCTTGGCGTAGGAACATTGGAGACCGTTGGAGACTGTGGGATGACCGGACCGACCGGGCCGAAATAGAAGCCATTGTGGAGGTGAAGGTGTGTGGTTGTGTGGTTACCGTGAATTGTTACATTACAAGCTACGATGGATGCCGTCAACCGTCTTCCACTTGAAGATCAGATAGATGACATTTCGGCCTGGATAAATGTCTTGAGAGACAAAAGGAGAACTTTTAGAAGAGGCAGGAGGAAAGATTTAAGGGTGCAGGCCATTTTAACCTGTACGCTGAGAAAGGCAATATCCCTGAGAATGAAAATGCGAGACGAACTACTATGGCAGCTTTTGGAATAGGAAGTAAGTAAATCTGATTGCAATAACGTGTGCATTGCCACTTCTAGTAACAAACTATCAAACCAGTGGGATGAAATAACGCGAAGATGTAAACAGTTTGAATAGGTTGATATGTTTGCTGAATTAAGGGAAGAATCCTGTACAAAAATGAACCATGTTCTCATTAGTTTGACGTGTTTTCTTGACTGTGATATTATACAGGTATTCTGTTTTTCATTTCAGTCTCCCGGTTTGAGATGGCATGCCTGCCTATCGTCGACGTTTGGACCGAGGTGGCAAGCCATGATAAGAGAGACCTGAGGGAGAAGTCTGCATTGTAACCTTTGAATCTACAGTGGTTACAGTGTAGATAGTTCGGCCATGGTAGCCCGTGCATCTAAGAAATACTGTTTTTTCAGGCAAGGGTAACCTCATGACTTTTAAGACTGAGTATTTTGTCATAAAAAGTTTTAGTTGGACATTGTTATCTCAAGTCTGGTACTCAGTCACACATCTATGCATTGATCAATTTCCTTAGTTGGATTTCTGATGTCAGTTCTTTATAGTCTCACATGCAAACTATGTTGTACAAAATTTATTAAAAGTTTAAAGATCCATCACTACATTTTTCGGCCAGTATGGTCAGGCATTAAACGTATTGGCCACAGAAGCTGCTGTCTTCTGTGGTTGCTTTGTTAATGTATAAATTCTCTCTATCTTCATATGTATATTTAACGTGTACATTTAACTATATGAGTTTATGTGTGTGAAGTTTTTATGTGTTGGGTAGTAAAATTTTAATTTAGTATTCAATGCCATGCCTATTCTGAATGGATCTGTGTAAAGTTCATTACTGTTTGTTTTAATTAATTTTCTCCTTGTTAATAGAATGAAGCTGGTATTTGCAATACTTGCCTTGAACAAGATTTGCTGGTTGTGGGGCAGGTGGGATGTGGGCAGAATAGTTTCTATTTTCAGTTCATGCAGATATTGGCTTCCTGGTGGATACAGGCGTTCAGCCCCTTGAACCTGAACAGAGCGTTTGTATGGAACTTTCCTTGCAGCCTTGATTGGATTGTAGAATTGCTGTGGATAACAGGAAGTGGAATGGCGGAAGGGATTAACAGCAGAGTTTGCCGTTAATAACATCACTTCTTTGGTAACAAGTTTTCTTACATAAGTTTGTAAGGTTATGGTTTTCATTTGCATAGCATAGGAAGTCTTTAATATGTTCCCAGACAGTGGGATGGCATGCCAGTACATGAAACTTTTCAAATGGTGGTTGTAATGGTTCTCTAGAAATTAACGAGATATCAAAATGTCTGTGTATAACACTGTCCCCCAATATTACATTACGTGCAACAAATTATTCCCTTTTCTTCCGCTTACGCTTTTAACACTTTGGCCCTAGATGGCCATCTTCAAGGTGTCTTATTATATTAAAACTGGTACACTTCATTAATATGCACTAAAATCACATGTTGTAGTACACTTAATATAATAAAATAAAATCCATTTAAATTTCCTATTAAAATTTTAATTACTTCTTTGAAATTCTGTTCCACGTCACAAGGGCATTTGTCTACTTGTTTTGAACTATATGTTTATCTCCACACATTGATACACTTGAACTCCATATTTTGAAGATTCTTCTAAGATAATTGTTTTTATATTTTGTTTTGTTACATTCTGAAAGTTATTGTTTGTGTGGAAGGAAAGTTTTGTTTTATACTCTCAGAGCTCAACATTCCGTGGTGACGATTTGTGCCCTTTTTTATCCTACTCAAGAATCTATGGCATTTGCTGACAAGGGATGTGCGTTCTCTGATCAGACTCTGGATGCTGGAAGTCATCTGTTTCTACATGAGGTTTATTTGAGAAACTTCTCTTAACCTTTAAACGCCGGACTTCGAAATAGTGGTAAACTTGAGCTGGCCGGAGTTTATTTAAATGCCCGCTGCTGGTGCTCGTTTAAATGCCCGTTGCTCCCTTGCATTTAAATGTCCGTTCCTGTTAGGCAGTTAATCAATTTTAAGCGTTGTGTTTAAAAATGCAGTATCTAGCACATTTTTATGATAAATGGATGGTATTAACTTTGTTTATATCAGCAAAGAACATAGTGTCGCATATTATAATGGAAGATTTGAAATTTTTAATACAAAGTGTTATACTCTATTTTCAATTTTTTGTGTTTTAATTTTGATGCGTACTGCAAAAATTGTTTCCCAGTTCTTCACAGAGTTGTTCTGCATTATAAATTCATTTCTGTTTGTAACACTTGACAAATTTTAGCTGTCCCTGGTGTCATAAAACAGATGGAAGCAATAAAATCATTTGGCCTTCTGCTAGCACTGCTTACACCCTTCGGATTTTCGAATCTTTGACTGAAGGTCAGAAGAATGAGAGAATGGCTATTCAAGAGAAAGCTAGAGGGGTCCCTTCTTCAGTGTTAAAACCTTCCGTTAGAACTGCAAAAGCTTATTGCTCCCTTTATTTGAGTGGACAGACAGCTGCATTGTGGCTGAGATACAGAGCGCGATCTGTTTTGTGTGCGTTCGTAGTGAAATTGAATACAGTAGTTTTATTTGAAACTGTATATACATCAAGCAGATGTATATACAGTTTCAAATAAAACTACTGTATTCATCAAGCAGCCCCCTCGTTGGTGGCTCCACCTAATCGTGGTGAGGGGGTTTGAGTATGCCAAGGACCCTGAGAGCTATACCAGCGGTAGCGTAGCTACTGGCAGGGCCTCCCTTGCTGGACAGGTCAAAGGGTAGGCATCAGACGAAGAGAGACACCAAAAACTGATGCCGGAAGCAGCGTCATCAGCAGCGACTTG